TTATTTTATACCATAAAACTTTAATCAACATCTTTGAGTTACTTATTGCAAGAGGTGCATACTCTGAGCCGCCAAGGGACGCTATGAAACAGAGCGGTTGCTCACCGAACCGAAAACTATCAAACAGAAAGAAAACCACCAGATAAGATATACGGAAAATTTTAATGAAAAAAAAAAAAAAAAAAAAAAAAAAAAAAAAAAAAAAAAATATATATATATATATATATATATATATATATATATATATATATATATATATATATATATATATATATTACGCAGAGACCGAGATCAAGAGGAGGAGGAAACTTTTGATAGAAATATATCGGTCTACGGTCTGTTCTCCAACGGTGACGTCAATTTCGGCAAACCTTTCCTCTTCGCTTTCCGGTTCCAAGGTCACCAGTGTGTTTTGTTTTATAAATTGTGTTCTGTATAAACCCGAGTGTACTGCATGCATGTATCCTTTAATATTATATATATATATATTATATATATATATATATATATATATATATATATTATATATATATATATGTATATATACATGCATGTGTGTATATTTGTATATATGTAATATGATATGTGATATATTATTTATATTATGTATATGCACACCATTACCATAATTATAATTATAATTATGGTAATGGTGTGCATATGTGAGTGTGAATGTGTGTGTGTGTGTGTGTGTGTGTGTGTGTGTGTGTGTGTGTGTGTGTGTGTGTGTGTGTGTGTGTGTGTGTGTGTGTGTGTGTGTGTGCGTGCGTGCGCGCGCTCCGTGCCACTCGTCCAACAAAAGGGCTTTCGAGTGTACTGATATTACCGAACACATATCTGATGCTAATTTTAAGAGCCCATTCATTTGTGGCTTGTAGAGGCCTTGATTGCTTGCCCGGAGACTCAGGTACAAGGCCAAGTACTGACAGATATTTTAAGAATGGATATGAATATTTTGAATACGTAGACACAGATGAAACAAGGAATAAACACTTTCTTCGATTTGAATATAATAATCAAAATTACTATCTTATTTCCCATTCCGATTGGACCCTCCGTGCACGCCACTATCATAGCGCCCGTTGGCCTATGTCGAGACCACGGGCAAAGGTGGCTTCAGAAGCGTGGGAAGAACGGGCAGACTGGCGGTAAGCACCTGGTTTAGCGTGGAAGTAGCGCCTCCTCCGCCACTGTCTTCTCTTCTGCAATCGCCATCGGAGCCGGAGGGACCCAGGGAGTATCTTGCATATGAGGTGGCGATTCACATATTACACCTCTCCTTCTCCCTCCTTGCTCCTTCTCCCTCCTTGCTCTTTCTCCCTCCTTGCTCCTTCTCCCTCCTTGCTCCTTCTCCCTCCTTGTTCCTTCTCTCTCCTTGCTCCTTCTCCCTCCTTGCTCTTTCCCGCACTGAAGAGGAGCCTTTGAGAGACATAACCTTTCATAATCATATCTCGGTTTGAGCAACCATGCCACAGCAAGGGAAGATGCTACTTGCAAGCCGCGTGAGGCCTTCGATGTTGCAGGAAGCTTCACGTAACAAGGTCTATATAAGTACATATATAGACCTTGTCCCGTAAGGCTCGGCAGGAATACGCAGCCTATCATAACCGTAACCTGGGGCATCCCTGGTCCCTGGTCCTTAGAAGCTGGGTCCCTGGTCCTTTACAAGATGAAGACCACACAAACAGGGCCTGATCGTGCTTTAGGGCAGCGGTGGCAAAGCCTTGCCAAGGTAGTGAAGAAGTTGGGCCCCGTTGATCATGTCGTCCAGGTCCTGTCTCCTCCGTTTTCGGAGCGTAACTGCCACGTTAACCAGTTGCCCCCATTTAAGATGGAGGAAGAGCTGATATTCCCAGACGCGTCACCATAACAGGACCATGATTACGCGGACTCTTGTTACCCGACGACGCGGAGCCAGGTGCAACGATGTTGCTTTCGGCAATACGTCCATCCCAACAGTCGTGGTAAGACTGGGATGGTAAGGTATCCCTTTCACCGTAAGAAATTCAACGTTCATTACATCCTTCCCTGCAGACCACAGCAATCCATATACTTTGTATGGGCTCTCGAGCGAGACTGACGTCGCTCGAACGACGAACTCGGCTCGCCCTTCCAGAACTACCGGAGTGGCCCCTGGATCACCGCTTCTGTAGTTATCTGGCCTGAGATCCCGTTTTTATTTTGTAACGTTCATTTTTATTTTTGTATTTGTAATTTCATTTTCTGTTACTTTTATTTGTCTTTTAAAGGGAGCAGGAAGCGCTTCTTTCATTTAATAGGATTTCTTTTTGTTGTAAGATTTCGTTTAAATTATAGTTTTAAGGTATTACTTTTGTCTCTTTAGTTTTGTATTTAGGTTGAGAGGTTTCTTGAGTTTTAGCTTTTAAGACCTAGGTTTATTTAGCTTTAGGTGTTATTTGTAAAGTTCCTTTCCTGGTTTTCGTTTTTAGCTTTTTATTCGTTTAATCTTTAGGAGGTCGATCTCTCTCTGTATATCCCT